CCCTCCCTCCCTTTCCTCCCTCCCCTCCCTCCTCCCTCCCCCTCCTTTCCCCCCCTCCCCTCCTTCCCTAAACCCCCCGCAAACACTGACACCAAACCTAGTCACACACGCCGATCTGTATTTAATGACTGGCTGGCAAATTTAGGCCTATTTTTCCACTTTAACGGACAATCTTGGGGAGGAGTGGGGGTGGGTAGGTAATGGAGGGGTGGGGGAGTGGGGGGAGTAGGTGATGGAGGGCCGGTGGGGGTGGAGGTGGGTAGGTGATTGAGGGGATGGGGGGGGGTGGGGAGGGGGGTGGGTAGTAATGGAGGGGGGAGGAGAGGGAGGGAGGGAAGGTGATGGAAAGAGGATAAATGCAGGAGGGAGGAGGGGAGGGGGGTGGGGAGGAGCAAGAGCTGGGGGGGGGGCGGGGCTGGGAGGAGGGAGGGGAGAGAGGAGCAAGAGAGGGGGGGAGGGGGCAGGGAGGAGGAGGAGGGGGAATGGGGCTGGGAGGTAGGAGGGATGGGGCGTGAATGAGGGATAAAGAAAGAGAGTAAAGTATTATACAGAAGGAGGAAGAGATAGAGGGAGGAGGGAGTGAGAGAGAGGAGGGAGTAGGAAAGGTTAAAAGCATAGCGAAGGAGGAAAAGAGAGAGAGAGAGAGAGAGAGAGAGAGAGAGAGAGAGAGAGAGAGAGAGAGAGAGAGAGAGAGAGAGAGAGAGAGAGGAACGGAAGGAAGGGAGAAAGAAGTGGGTGAAAGTGAAGAAGGAGAGACGGAAGAAGGAAGGAAGTAGGTGGCATGGAGAATTAAGAAGGAAAAGACACGGAAAAGAAGAGACGAAGGTGCGAAAGTGAGAAAGACAGGTAAGAGAAAAAAACAAATTGAGAAAGATGGAATAAGTGGAACAGAGCAGGAATAAGAAGGGAGTGGAGGAGAGAAACGGGGAGGGGGGGGGGGGTACGTAGCCCCAGGGTAACCGCTTCCATCGACGGCATAGCATCAGACAATCGACTTCCTTCATAATTACTAGTTTGATCTCTGAATAATGCATGTAGGCTTATGTCCTGGCAGCTCATAGCCCTCCCTCCCCTCCCTCCCCTTCCCCTCCCCCTTTCTCCCCTCTCTCCCTCCCCCCCCCCCTTTCTCCCATTCCCCAGGCTTGTTTACTAGCCCTCTCCCCCTTCTCCAACCCCCTCCCACCCTTCCTCCCCCCCTTCCTCCTTACTTCCTCTTTGCTATTCCCTCTTAATTCTTCCCCCTCTTCCCCTCTTCCCCCTCTTCCATCTCCCCTCCCCACCCCCACCCTCCACACGCACATACATACATGACAAACAGCAAACAAACAAATCCGTTCCACTGTTCCCCTCCCACGCCTTCAATTTCAGCCAATGAAAAACGCGAAAAACAACTTCCTTCGCGTATCTGGAAAGTGATTGGTCCTTTTTTCAGCCAATGAGAACCTCTGAAGAGCGGCTTCTTCTGCTCTCACGCTGGAATGTGATTGTTCATTTTTTTTCGCGGGATTCGGTGGCGAATTTGCGCGGGAAAATCCGCAGCGCTCATCCACCTACCCGAGAATATTTAGAAATATTATTTTAAAGATAAAAAATGAGAGAGAAGAGGAGGAGGGAGTAGAGAGTTGAGGAGAAAGGATGTGAGAGAGAGAGACGAGGCGTGATGGAGAGAGAGACAGGGAGAAGAGAGAGAGGGAGAGAACTGCTGTGGAAGGCGAGGAAGAGACGAGAGGAGGGAGTGAGAGATAACGCGCAGAGGGAGAGAGAAGGAGGAGAGAGAAGGAAGAATGGGCGAAGTACAATAATGGCGGGCGGCGCTAAAGGGGAGGGTGGAGGAGGGGCGGACGACTAAGAAGAACACACGATAGGAGAGCAGGCAAGAGAGAAGTAAACGAAACGAGGGAGTTATGAGCGGCAGCGAAGAGAGGGATAGGAGGGAAAGATGGCCAAGGTACTGAGAATCGGAGGACTAGAGAGATGGGACGAGAGGCGGAGGAGAGACAGGGGACGAGAGAGAGAGAGAGGGGGGAGGGGGAGAGGGGGACGGAGGCGAGAGGTGAGAGGAGAGGAGGGAAGGAGGGAGGAGAGACTTGAAAGTAGAAACAAAAAGGGGACAAAAAGAAAATGAGGGAGAGGAGAACATTGTGTTCTTGAAAGACCAATTATTCATCGAGAAACTTGACAATAAAAAAAAAAAAATACAAAATACTTGCTATGGAAGCCAGAAGCTAATATATTTTAAATATTTTTTCAATTTTTTGATTTAAATTATATTGTATTTATTATTTAGATTTTATAGTATTTATTTATATAATTTGTTTAATTAAAATGAACACCTTTCAGACAGAAGTGGGGGAAAGTCTCAACCATTTCTTCATACATTCTATTTATTCTTCTTTTTTTCTTCTTCTTGTTTCTCTCCCTCTCTCTCTTTCTGTTCTGCTTTCATTCATTTCTCCTTCCCTTTCTTTCCCTTTTTTCCCTCTTCTCTTCCTCCTACTCTTCTCCTCGACCTCTTTCCCCTTCCCCTCTTTCTTATCTCTCTCCTCCTTTTCCCTCTTCCCCCCGTTCTCTCTTTCTCCTCTTCTTCTCTCTCTATCTATTTCTATCTTTTATCTCTCTCTCTCTCTCGTTTCTATTTCTATTTCTCTCTCTCTCTCCTCTCTCTCTCTCTCTCTCTCTCCTCTCTCTCCTCTTCTCTCTCTCTTACATCTCTCTCTTCTCTTCTTCTCTTCTCTCTCTCCTCCTCTTCTCTCCCTCCTCCTCTCTCTCATACGGGTGCGCGGCGGATACTTCGGTAGGCCGGTCTACATACCATGCTCACTATCTTCTCCACCCCCTTACATATCTCTCTCTGTACCTCTCTCTCTCTCTCTCTCTCCTCTCTCTTCTCTCTTTCTCTCTCTCTTCTTCTCTCTCTCTCTCTCTCTTCTCTCTCTCTCTCTCCCCTCTTTCTCTCTCTCTCACTCTTCTCTCTCTCTCTCTTCTCTCTCTCTCTCTCTCTCTCTTCTCCTCTCCCTCTCCCTCTCCCTCTCCCTCTCCCTCTCCCTCCCTCCTCCCTCCTCCATCTCTCTATCTTTATCATCTTCCTCTCTCTCTCTCTCTCTCTCTCTTCTTCTTCTCTCTCTCTCTCTCTCTCTCTCTCTCTCTCTCTCTCTCTCTCTCTCTCCCTTTCTCTCTCCCCTCTCCTCTCTCTCTATCTATCTATCTATCCTATCTATCTCTCTCTCCCTACTTCCTCTCTCTTCTTCTCTCTTTCCTCTTCCCCCATTTATTCCTTCAGAGGATGCGCTTTCTCCCTCCACATTTAGCAACGACACTAAAGGAAGTTTCTTTCCCGAAACTTCAAAGTAAAATAAACATATCACACAAGACTGGAGAAGAGGGGGGGGAGGGGGGGAGGGACGTGGTGGGGGAGTGGGTTGGCTAGGAGAGGGAGGGGAGGGAAGAGGAGGAAGGAGTGAGGAATATAGAGAAAGGGGAGAAGGAATGAGGAGGAGGGGAGGGGGGGGTGGCTGGGATGGCTAGAGTGAGGGGAGGGAGGGAAGAGGAGAAGGAGTGGGAGAAGGGGGAGGTATAGAGTTGAAAGGGGGAGAAGGAATGGGAGGAGGAGGGAGGGGGGCGGTTGGCTGGTTGGGGAAGGGAGGGAAGAAGGGGAGGGGGGGGAGAGGAGAGAGGGAAGAGGAAGTATAGAGTTGAAAGGGGAGGAGGGGTGAGAACAATGAAGGAGGGAGGGGAGGGGAGGCGGAGGAGGAGGGGTGGGCAACAGGAGAGGGAGAGGGAGGGAAGAGGAAGTATAGAGTTGAAATGGGGAGAGAGAAGGGAATGGGAGAGGGAGGGAAGGGAGGGGTTAGGGATGGAAGGGGAGGGAGGGGTTGGCTGGGATGGGGAAGGGGAGGGGGGAGAGTATAGAGAAGAGAGGGGGAGAAGAAAAAAGAAGGGGGGGGGAGGGAGGGAGTTCAAAAATTGCTCCACCTTCCTTTTCTTACACAAATTTAATTCCAGCCTTCTTCAGTGAATACACAGAGGTCGACACGCATAAAAGTTTAATAAAGCTTGTGGGTTCTTTAGAAGTGGGATTTTGGTCTTTGGTTTGCTCTCTCTCTCTCTCTCTCTCTCTCTCTCTCTCTCTCTCTCTCTCTCTCTCTCTCTCTCTCTCTCTCTCTCTCTCTCTCTCTCTGCTCTTCTCTCTCTTTTCTCTCTCTCTCCTCTCATCTCTCTCTCTCTCTCTCTCTCTCTCTCTTCTCTCTCTCTCTCTCTCTCTCTCTCTCTCTCTCTCTCTCTCTCTCTCTCTCGTCTCTCTCTCTTCTCTTTCTCTCTCTCTCTCTCTCTCTCTCTCTCTCTATCATCATCTCTCCACTCCTCTCTCGGCCTCTTATCTATCCTCTATCTTTCTCTATTTCTGTTCTATCTTCCCTTGCCCCTAACTCTCTCCCTCTTTTCTCTTTCTATCTATTCTCTCTATCTCTCTCTATCTCTCTCCTCTCCTCTCTCTCTCTCTCTCTCTCTCTCTCTCTCTCTCTCTCTTCTCTCTCCTCTCTCTCTCTCTCTCCTCTCTCTCTCTCCTCTCTCTCTATCTCTCTCTCTTCTCTCTCTTCTCCCACCAATACTAACGAATGCACTCTATGACTTTCGTAAAGGAAAATCAACAGAAAAATCACTTCTAAATGTCACAAATCACATTATACGTTGTTTTGATAAAAGAGAATTCACGATAGGCATGTTCTTAGATCTCAATAAAGGGTTTGATACCGTGGATCATGATAATCTGTTGATGAAACTAAGCTATCATGGAATCAGAGGAATTATACTTGATCACAGTATGTGTCTTTTGATGAATGTAAATCAGCAAAATCAAAAATTATGTATGATGTCCCTCAGGGGTCTGTTCTTGGTCCATTTTTTTTCTCATATTAATTAATGATGTTAAAAGCCGCAGTATTCTAAAATTTATCCTTTTCGCAAATGACAGAAAATATACTAGTGGAACAGACCTTGTATCCTTAATGGACGTTGCGAACCGTGAACTTCTAGAAAATTGGATAAAATTGAAGAAACTGACTATAAATTTAGAAAAAAAAACTCACTATGTGATATTCAAGAGAAACAAAAAGCTACCAGATGTATTACCCAACTTGTACTCAAACAATAGGAAACTCAGTCAAGAAAAAGAGAGAAAGCTTTTAGGAATTACTAAAATGATAAACTAAAACTGGGAACAGCCATATCATGGTTCTTAACAGGAAAATGCGAAAACATTGCGGGGTTTTAAACCTTGTCAGTAGTTCCCTCACCAGCAAATCTTTGACGTTTTTAAACTACGCTTTAGTATTTCCAATTTTATCCTATTGCCATGTATGGGGAGGACATTCACAGAATATGCTGCAACCGCTGTTAATAACAAAAGAAATTGATCCGAATCATATCGAACCTCAGATGGAATAATCATACGAACCCACCTTTCATTCATCACAAAATGTTAAAGATACATAAGATAAATACGTACTGCAAAGCCATGTCTGTATACAAACTCAGTTCAGTTTTAAATAATTAGATCAATACCTCCTGAGAAATGAAAATCTCCTTCAACTTCCCCAAATGCAAACCTCACAGTCACAAACTTCCATATATATCAAGGTGCCAAAGTCTGGAATGAGCTCCCTGGAACATTACGTGACAAGCGCATCTTCTCCCGGCTTTCAAAAATACATTAAAAATTCCATTTTTGTCCAAGTACATGGATAACTCAGACTGATGTAACAAAATGATGTTAGAAACTTTGTAAATATTTATGTGTAAAGCACTAAATTGTTTACATATTATTGATC